AAAAGAAGAAGAAGAAGAAAGAAAGAAAGAAAGAAAGAAAGAAAGAAAGAAAGAAAGAAAGAAAGAAAGAAAGAAAGAAAGAAAGAAAGAAAGAAATTGAGCAATTGTGAGGCATGGTTCACGGTTGCTGTATCTAGCAAAGCTATCTGGTAAATCTGATAAATCTGATGGAGAGGCCTGCTTGTGGTGGTGGTGCATGTCTTTAATACCAGCACTGGGGAGGCAGATTCAGGAGAATCTCTATGAGTTCCAGACCAACCTGGTCTAGATAGTGAGTTCCAGGTCATCCGAGGCTACAGAGCAAGACTCTGTTTTTAAAACAAGCAAACAAATACCCATTTAAAAAGGATGGATCAAAGTGATTTTGTTTTGTACTATTTCAAGTAGTGAAGGGCCTGATCCTCAGTTCTGATACTCAATAGCATGACCTTGAAAAGGTTAAACCTGCTGAAAATCAGTTTATACTCCCAATGAATAATCCTGGCAATTTCAGAGAATTAATGAGATGATTTTATCAAATGATTTGTATCAAGAAAAAGGGGTTAACTTGTGGCTGTTGCTACTGGTAAGCCAGAATCATAAAAAGCAACAATTTTGGGTTACATTTTTAAGTATGTACTGGCAACACAAACTTCCACCTCTTTTGGGCTTGAAAGATCCTTTCTCCTCAAGTACTTATTTCCTTTTTTGGGTTGGGGCTGTAGTTTAGTAGTTGGATATGTAAGCCCCGGGTTCAATCCACAGCACCCTAAGAAAAGTCTTACTTCCAAAAACTTAAATATTAGAAATAGACATGGTGATACAGCAGGATCCCTTCAAGTTCCAGGCCAGCATGGCTACATAGTGGCTCCCAGGCCAGCCAGAGCTACACAGTGAGATATATATTCGCTGGACAAAATAATGAGCTTAACTGCAGTATTTTCTAACATGAAATTGACTATCCCAAGTCAAATTATTTATGAATTTTCTTCTTTCTAGTTTGCATTAATTTTTTAAAACCCAACAAACCACAAATAGACATGTAATTGGGAGGTGGAGGTGGGAGGGTCAGGAAATTCAAGGTCATTCCCCCTCTACACTGTTTGAGGCCAACCTGAGAAACAGGAGATCCAGTCTTAGAAAACCCAACCAACTACAAGCCCATTTATTCAGTTTCAGAGAGAGCTGCAGGTGCCACAGAAAGAGAACATAGTTTAAGTATGGGATCCTTTCTGATACTGTAAAGGTACCAAAGTTATTCCATACTTGCAATAATCTGGGTGGGAAGAGAAGGTTATCCAAGAAACAAAGTATCAGCCAACTGCCATTAACATTCATCTGTCTAGTGAAATCACGTCACTTGTAGGACGATGAGTAAAACTTGGTATCACCATGTCAAGTGAACTCAATGAGAGAGAAAGAGATACTACATACGGCATGTGAGTGGACGATGTGGAGGAGGAAGAGCCTTAAAGTGGCAGAGAGGAGACAAGACAGGGCAGTGGGAAAACAAGAGACAAATGTTGTCCTGTCTTATGTGGAATTTAGATTTAACACCGCACCCCCAACCCCTACATACATAAACGCAGGTACACACATGTACTACAAGGAAACAGAAGGCTTGGGGAGAGGAAGGGAATCATGGGAGAAGATGATCTACGAGGATAGTGAGGGTGTGTGTGTGAAGGCGAGAAAATGAGCAAACTAAATGATGTCTATGTTTGAAAACAGCATATAAAATACTTGGTTTCATTATGACAACTAAAAAAAATGAATTTAAAAAAAAAAAAAAAAGCCAGGTGGTGGTGGCGCATGCCTTTAATCCCAGCACTCGGGAGGCAGAGCCTAGAGAATCTCTGTGAGTTCGAGGACAGCCTGGTCTACAGAGTGAGTTCTAGGAAAGGTGCAAAGCTACACAAAGAAACCCTGTCTCGAAAAATCAAAAACAAAACAAAACAAAAATTAGCTTGTACTTAAGACGAAAGCACTGTGTGTGTGTGTGTGTGTGTGTGTGTGTGTGTGTAAGATCTGGATTAGGAGTCTGGGGAGAACGCTTAGTCAGCCAAGTGCTTACTATGCACCCTGAGGACATGATCTGACCACAAGCACACATGTAAAACCCCAGGCATGACAGCACACACTTAGAAAGCTAGCCCTAAGGAAGCAGAGACAGGAAGATTCCTGTGGATTACTGGAGAGCCAGCCTGGACTAATCCATGAGTCCTAAATCCCACAGAGAGATCCTGTCTCATAAAACCACATTCAAGGTTGATATCTGCCCCACCCCGCCCAATACCTGCACATACTCCCTCACAGGACCACCCACAAAAAAAAAAATTGTATTAGATACAAGAAATTATTGAAATGATAAAGAAATCAGGTTCTCAGAAATCAAATTAAAAAAAATTATCCGACCATGTAAACAAGTACAAATGACACTAATACTTACAGTTAGAGGAACAGGGTCTTGGAAAGCCAGGCTCATTTCATGGCAGTAAAGAAACAGAAGCAAACGTTCACATTTCTAGTGAAAAACACAAATAATAAAACAATGAAATCATAGCTTATTTCCTAAAACAATTCACAGGCCTCAGAATAAAAATTAAAGCCTGAGGAATACATAAGAAACATTGAATCTAGCCAGGCAGTGCTGGCGCGCACACCTTTAATCCCAGCACTCAGGAGGCAGGTAGATCTCTTTGAGTTCAAGGCCAACTTGGTCTACAGACCGATTACCAGGACAGTCAGGGCTACACAGAAACCCTGTCTAGAAAAACCAAAAACCTAAACAAAAAAGAAAGAAAGGAGGGAAAGAAGGAAGGAAGGAAGATAGACACAGACTCTCAATCTTTGAGTTTTGTATTCCATTAACTAACAACTTAGGAAATATGGATAGAGTTCCTGTAATTAGGTCAATAAACCAATCTCACTAGAAAACACACATTTCGAGTTCCTCAAGACGAAACTGCCTCCCCCCCATCATTCTACTCCAGCTGTGTGAATCAACAGTCACTGGAGGAAGCAATGCAGTGCCCAGTGAACATCTACAGTACTGGCAACAAGAGCAGGTTCCCTGTATTACACGCCAATTCTCAGATTGTTTCTTTTTTTGGGGGGGTGGGGAGGATGGGGAGGTTGAGACATAGCTTCTCTGTGTAGCCCAAGATGTCCTGGAACTCACAGAGATCCACCTGCCTCTGTCTCCTGAGTGCTGGGATCAAAGGTGTGTGATACCACTGCATGACTTATTCTTTTATAAAATGCTGTCAATTTTCAAAAGAGTCTGAGAAACAAAATCAATTAGTAATAAAAAATAAAACAGGACAAAAATTGAAGTAGGCAAAATTTAAAAGCTTAGACTAAAGCTAGGCATTATATCTCATTCCTATAAACCCAGGGATGGGAAGCTGAGGCAGGAGGATCACCATCTGATGACAGACTCTACTAACGGTGACACCCTGTCTCAAATTAAAAAAAAACAAAAACAAAAATCAAAACCAAAGCTGGGCATGGTGACCTGTAATCACAGGTACTTGCAAAGTTGTGAACTCAAGGCTAGCATATGCCACACAGACAGTTCTAGTTTCGCCTGACCTATAGAGTGTGTCCTCACGTTAAAAAAAAAAAAAAAGAAAGAAAAAAGCCAAGCTTTAGGTGGGCAGTCAGCAGAGTGAGGAGTGCCTGGACTGAGTTCCAAGATGGAGTGTAAGAAAGCTGGATGCGCTGCTGCATCCTTAAAATCCCAGCAGTACAGATGTGGAGAAGGGTGGCACCTTAGGGCTCACCGCCCAGGCAGCCTCCCCTGATCCCTAAACTCCAGAGCAATGATTATGTTTAAAGAATAAATTCACCTGAGGCTGTCTTCTAGCACCACCCCTCCCAAATCAAAGCCCAGCTCTATCTACGAAGGACATACAGTTCATTCTGTTCAAGTATAGTATTTTAAATTACCTAATTAAGTTTTCTTGTGTTTAATTAAGAAGCTACAGTTCTATGTAACCACAAGGACCCAGATTTGGATCCCTAGCACCTAAGTAAAAAAACCAGGCATGATGGCATCCAGCTGTAACTCTAGTGTGAGAGAGGAGGAGGAAAGAAGTGACAGCTTAGCCCTGGGAACTTCAAGTTCAGAGACAGGCCTTGTCTCAAAAATATGGGAGGCAGAGCCAGGCAGATCTCTGTGAGTTCAAGGCCAGCCTGGTCTACAGATCGAGATCCAGGACATGCACCAAAACTACACAGAGAAACCCTGTCTCGAAAAAACAAAAAACAAAAAAACAAAAAAACAAAACAAAAAAAAAAAAGTGGAAAGCAAAAAAGATATGTTAGGTCAACCTCTGGCCTCCATGTGTAGAGGCATGAGTTAGATCCCACAGACAGACAGACAGACACACACACACTATTGATTATTTAAAATTTGTATTCTTCTGCGTGTAGAAGGAAAGGGGGAAAAGGAAAGATTTAAAGGACAAAGAATTCAGTATAAAAATCAACACATTCAACAAAAATACTAATTAATACCCAAGTGTGGAAATGTTCAAAAACTTACCCTTTTATCTATTGGCGTTAATTTAGTAAGGCCTTCGGTTTTCCTTTTTTCTGAGTTGTGACTGGGAGCATCACAATCATATTCAACTTCTGGCTTAGATAAGTCTCGGCAGAAAGTACAAATCCATTCTCCACTGTTGGGAAAACGTACCTTTGAGTTCTGAGTATATCAGGTCTCTCTTTCCCACCCTTCCCACCACCTGCAGACCTGCAGGCCATCTATGACATGTTTCTTTGGCATGGGTTTTATTCTTTGCCTATTTATCACTTACTACTAGGTACAAAGCAGTATGGAGAAGAAATGGCAGAAATTTGATGCAAAGGTCTAAGAAGTTGGTAGTATTAAAGTCACACTTCTGATCCTCCCCTCTCTATCTCCTCCATGCCACCAAGGCCAGCTAGGGCCCATTATTTATCACAACAGATGAGCTTTCCGAGAAGCACAAACACTAGGAGGCAGCGAACTGTAGATCAGAGTTAGGGACTTTCAAGTATGCATTTGTGCCAAATGGAATTTAATCTTTATAAAGGTTTTGTGTTATTAACAATTGTCAAATACTTGTAACGACTGTTACATTTAAAAAGCTCTTCCTCCCACCTTACCCTCTCCTCCCCCTCTCCTCCCTTTACTCTCTCCTTCCACTCCCATGTCATTGCTTCCAATTACATCCATTTTCCTCTAAAGTGCTGTGACTTTTTCTATTTCCCTGCAGCAGTGGGGAACAGCACTCTGGGCCATGTGTATGCTAGCCAAGAAGCTCTAGCACTATGCCACACTCCTAACAACACGCTTTATACTTCAGAGAGAGTAGTTTTACCTCGGGAAATTTGTCAATGTGGGCACGTGACAAGTGAGGTGGAATACATTAGGACACTTTTCACAGCAAAGGAGTTCCCCTCCATTTTGACAAACTGCACACCAGTCTTCATTGGGGTCATCCTCCTTCCTTGTCTCCCCGACATGCACAGGGGACTTCTGGGAGGCATCCAGGCACTCAGGCTTTCCATTTGAGGAATTTTCCTGATGAAGTCCAGGTTGATCTCCTGTGCTATCAGGAGCATCAGATCTTAACATAGCTTCCTCAGAAACAGAGCTCTGATTACTGTTTAAGAGGAGGGAAGTAAGTATACTTCTTGGATAGTTAGTCTGCAACCAAAGAGAGAACATTATTTATATATGCATGCATGTTTTGAAAGTAATCTTTTAAAGACAAAGTGGGCAGTGTGGAAGTCAATCACATGAACTTTAAAGATGGTTTACTGAAGCTACTAATTCAAATTACATTTCAGACACTGTGCTGGCTGGTTTTATGGGTCAACTTGACAAGCTGAAATCATCTGATAGGAGGGACCCTCAATTTAGAAAATGCCTCCATAAGATCGGGTTGTAGGCTAGCCTGTAGGGCATTTTCTTAATAGTAATTGATGGGGGAGGGTCCAGCCCATTGTGGGTGGTGCCATCCCTGGGCTGGTGGTCCTAGGTTCTATTAGAAAGCAGGCTCAACAAGCCGGTAAGCAGCACCCTCCATGGCCTGTGCACCAGCTCCTTCCTCCAGATTCCTGACCCGTTTTGAGTTCCTGTCCTGCCATCCTTTGACGAACTTCGAAGTGGGAGAATAAACTAAATAAACTCTTTCCTCCCCGAGCTGCTTTTGGTCACGGTATTTCATCACAGCAATAGAAAGTGTAACTAATACAGACACAAATATTATTCTGCCAGAATGAAACTAAATTCTGTGTTTGACCCTAGGATGGTGAAAATTCCTAATCAAAACCATAAGCTTTTATTTAAAATATCTCCTTTAAATTTTGTTTCTGAAATTTGAAAGTAACAAATGTGGATATAATTAAACATAGACATTCTTTGGAGGTAGTTATTTCCAAATTTAATTTGTTCCAGGACAACAAGTTGGCTTAGTGGGAAAAGGTTATCAGAAAACCCGAGTTCACTCCTTGGAACTTCCCGAGTAGGAGAGACTCTAGTTCAGCAAATTGTCTTGACTTCCACATGCCCTCTGACACTCCGGCCCCCCCCCCCCCCCCCAAAAAAAATAAAAATAAAATGTAATTTAAAATATTTTTAGTTTCATGTCTAGAGAGCTAGCTCAGTAGAGAACTAGGGTTCAGTTCCCACTACGTACATGGTGGCTCACTCACAATCACCTGTAACTCCAGTCCCACACCCTGTACAGACCTGTACAAACATTAGACACACATGTGGTGGACACACAGGCAGGCAAGACATTCATATAAACAAAATCAATCAATCAGTCTAAGTTGGAAAACTGAGCTTGTTCTACTGTCTTGTCTTTCCTTTCTCCTTCCTCTTCTTTTTCTAAATGTAATGTGGGAATTCTGCCCCAGCCTCTGAGTAGCTGGAATCGGAAGCACACACTACTGTGCCTAGTTTATCTCCATTATTACAGTAAACCTCTTGCAGTTTGCTGAATTCTCTTGGTACCCATCACTAATGCCAGTCTCCATGGGGCTGTAAGATCCTTTGACTACTGTCCATAGGGTTTTCCCCTCCACAGATGCCCGTGGAGCTTCTGTTCTCATACTATAGTCTACTTGGTGGGTGTTGTATCAGGACTACCCTTTCCTTGCCTCTTAAATGGGAAGAGTACTGTAAGCACTGATGTAATTACATTTTGAGTTCTAAATTCTTCATCCGATTCTTGTTTTACTATAACAACAGGAAAATCATAATTTTCAGGTGGTCCACTGTTTTCTTGTTTTATTCGGATTGGCTCCAACATGACTACTGGGACTTTGTGTGTAGAATCAGCTCCTGCTGGTTTGCTGGAAGAGCCAGAGCTGTGAGGGAGAAAGGAAGAGGGGGATACAAAATTAGACAACCTAAAAAGTAGTAAACTGAAGAACATCCTGGAATAATGTAACTTCACAAGAATAACCACATTTTATATCAGCAGTGAATGATGTTAAAATACAATTGTGGTATTAACACCGATTTCCTTGATACCAGAAAGGCCTACAGACTAAGCTTTCAAATAGATTTATCATGTATCTGAAAAGATAAGTAAAACCTAATTTAAGTATTCTTAGGCTCTCCAACTGCTCAGCTAGATCTGGGGTCTTAGAACTAACATCGTTTTACTCTTTCCCAATTCCCTGTCTAGTCACAAGAACTCTAGGGACAACAAGAACTCCAGGCCTTCATGCAGGTTGTGTTAAGACACTAGAATATCATTTGTTGGTGGTTGCTCTTTAAAGGGAGTAGCTGGACCATTAGCCAGTCTGTTCTTATGTGACTATAGGCCAACTTCCTCCTAGAGAATGCTGCTTTCAGATGATTAAAAAAAACCCAAAACCCAAAAACCAAACAACAGGGTTTACCTCTAGAAGTAACTTCAAACACAATGAGGGCAGAATTAAATATCAACTTAAAGAAGGAACTTAATTGTAAATAATTTCTTTTAAATTAGAACCAATGTTTAATCATTCTAACAGTCAAAGAACAATGAAGGAAAGATTGCTTCTTCACTCAGAGACAGAGGCATGGGCATTGTCAGAAGTTAAGAGGCCAGCCCCATCTATTAGTGAGTTCCTGACCATGTGATAGCCTGTCTCAAAACAAAACAGCAGCAGCAGCAACAACAACAACAACAAAAAAACCAATAAGGAAAATATTGCTATTTCCTAAATTTATCTACATATTACTATAATTACTTCTGTCTTTGCTAGCATGTCAAATACTATCTTATTTTTAGCATTTAGACAAATACTTCCTATCTTTAAAGATTAAAGTTGTACTAGTTTAACCACTCTATTGTATTAAAATATTAGTTAAAAATCAACAGTAAAAAAGATGCACCAAGTATCAAAACACGGACAACTGCAAGCTATTTATGCAGTTAGTTGGCTCTTCATGTCCATGGCCTTCCTTCACAGGATGGGAGGGAATGGGCCTGTAACTGAACATGTACAGACTATTTGAGGGGTGGGGGTGGGTGTCGTTATTCTCTAGACAATGTAATATAACAAGTTTTACAAGACAATCACATTGTATTAGGCACTATCAGTAACTAAGAGATGATTTAAAGCATATACAAACGTATGCATGTGTAAGTCATACAAATTCTGTACCACGTAAAAGACTTGAGCATCTGCAGTCTTTAGTATACTGAGATGGGTCCTGGAACCAATTCTCTGTGGATACTGAGGAAAGACTATACCAGTAAATATGGTTAAATCTATTTACCTTCCTCGGCTCCCGACACTGGAGGCACTAGGTGAACGTATTGGGGGATGGACACTAGTCATAGTAACAGGTCCTGAGGAGGAGGAAATAGACATAAGTGAATTAACAATTATGTGTTCAGGTTTGTTGAGTGTGTTTACTTAAATTATACCAAAACCAGGAACATCCAATAAAATTCTATGAAACAATAAGCATATCTTTAATATTTTGTTACACCAAAAGTTTATAGTCATGGTACTACTGCCTTCTGGGCAGGAGAAGGTCTGAGCATCACTGGCCATCTCCATACTCTCAACCTGAAGTACTAGTAAAACCTCTTCATCAAGTCTATCCTGCAGCAGAGTAGAGGATTACAGTGCCAGTGAGAACTACAGAAGACAAAAGATGAATGTATAAGGTGGTCAGGGGGCGGCAGAATGGCTTAGAGGTTTAAGGTACTGGTCAGCAACCCTGACAACCTGAGCTCAATCCCTGGAGCCAAATGAGAACAATTAGTGGGAGAAGTGAAAGTTAGATTCTGATGTGAAGCAACTGGAAAAAAAAAAAAAAAAAGAAAAAGAGGTTCTGAACAAAGGGTCTATGCTCAGGCTGCTGAGATGGCTCAGGAGATGGAATGACTTGCTGCCAAGTCTAATGACCTAATCTAGATCCCCAGGACCCACACATGGTGGAAAAAGAGAATAGATTCCTATAAGCTGTCTTCTGACCTCCATGTGCATGCTGTGACACTTATATACATGTGTACAGACACATGTAAGTAAGGGTAATAATATTAGTAAAATCTATACTCTGGAGGCAGTATAGGTTATATGGTAATCTGTCCAGGGTCTGGCAGTCCATAGTAGATAAATGTTAGTCTTAGGATAATTGCCATAAGGCCTTCAGAAATGATTTGTCAAGTTACACTACTATCAGTACCTATGAAGGTATCTGATGACATTTCCATCAATGGTATTGTCACAGTTCAAATCTTGGCTAATTCAGTAGTAAGAAACCAAATCCTGTTTTGACTCTTCTTATGATGACTGGAAAGAGGAAACATTTTTGTTTAGTCTGTTTTGTTGGATGCCTTTACTGTGTAGGAAATACCTGTTTCTGTGTCTTTCAACAGCACCAAGTACATCCTAATTTATTCAGATGTACTTGTCATTTATTTGATTGTAAATTCATGTTTAAAATAAGAATCTCCACTTAAATTTTGTAACCACTTTATTTTTTGGTCACACTGCAGAAAAATTAAGTTCACTCCTTTCCATTATTCCACATAGATGATGCTGTTGTACGGCTAACTTCCTCAGAACTGAAACAGTCTCTCCTCCAGGGAAAAGGGAGGCTCCTAAGACTCAGGAAGATGCGGACAAATACGAGGCTAAGGAAACTTTTCAAAATTCAGGATGCTCAAGAAGTTAAGGCTCAGAAAGTTAGGACATTTACATAGGCAAGTGCTGGGGCAAAGGAGATTCTTTGGTGGAGGGCCAACTATGCAGATGGCTCCCAGGAGCCGGCTTTGCGAGCTATCAACCACCCTGGGCAGGGTGTGGTGAGCTCACTGGGTCACCAGGCTAGACTTGAATGCAATTCTTTCTCTGGCTTGTCACCAGCACATTATCTGGATGTTTCTGTTCATGTCTCCTCAGGAAGTCACACAAGAGATACCTGCTATGTCAAGTTTCCAGGAGTAATATCTGGAGTGTTTCTTGGAGGAAACAAGTAGTATATAAAATATTTATTATTATTATTATTATTATTATTATTATTATTATTATTATTATTATTATTATGTTTTTTGAGACAGAGTTTCTTTGTGTAATCTTGGCTGTCCTGGAACTCACAGAGTTTCTCTGTGTAATCTTGGCTGTCCTGGAACTCACTCTGTAGACAAGACTGGCCTTGAACTCAGAGATTCACCTGCCTCTGCCTCCCAAGTGCTGGGATTAAAGGTGTGCGCCACCACCGCCTGGGTTATAAAATATTATTTTTTAAAACATTTACTTTTATGTGAATTGCGTGCTCTGCGTGCATGTACATAAGTGTACCACATGCATGCAATGCTCGAGGAGGCCAGCACTGAAGTTACAGTAAAAGGCAGTTGTAAGCCACTATGTGGGTGCTGGAAAAGCTGGTATGCTGCAGGAACAGGAAGTGCTCTTAACCACTGAGGCATCTCTCAACCTCCTTATATTAAGCCATTATAAACACAACTAAACAACAATGAAAAAACAAACCAAAGACTGCTCTCTTCTTGTGTATTTTATTAATAAAATTTGACTCTAGAGAAATTACATTTTAGAAGAGACCACATCAATATACAGACCTAATAAATATAGGCAACTATATTTATTAATGAGGGTATGATAAAAGTTTGCTCATTGGTTCCTATAATGCCAATAAATTTTGCTGAAACTGAAGAAGTACAAAAGTTTAACCTTTGTGTTTTTCTTTGTGAAGAGTACTAATTTTACATGGTATAAAAACTCAGGATGGCCAGGTGGGCTCAGTAGGTCAAACCACTTGTCACCAAGCCTGACAATCTGAGTTTGAAGCCCCACTTAGTGGAAGGTGAAAATCAACTCCAAGTTGTCCTCTGACTTCCACATGCGCACTATGGCATACAGGAGGAAATACATACACACATAAAATATATAGAAAAGGAAGCCTCAAGATACAGTTATCATTATCATTTTAAAAGCTAGGCAGAACCTCCCGCCCACAACCAAAAATGAGGCAGAGAAGAATTTTTAATCATTATGAATAAAAATATGAGTAAAGACTAGCAAACATTTACAAATCCAAAAGGTGGCTTTACCTGCAAGGCCTGGAGACGGCACTGATGAATTTGGTGACTGCACTGTTCTGTTTGATGGAGGTCTTGGCTGGCCATGATCTACACTTGTATCTTTCCTTGCAATATTGTCCAACATGATAGTACTTGAACAATCAATCTTCCAAGAGAATAAATTATTTCAGAACAAATTATCTTTGCAAACTAAAAACCACTTTAAATTTACAAGAAAACTTCAATCTTAAATTTTATCTTTGAGACAAGGTTTCTCTGTCTAGCCCTGACTGTCCTGGTACTTGCTTTGTAAATCAGGCTGGCCTTGAACTCACATAGATCTGCTTGTCTCTACTTCCCAAATACTGGAACAAAGGCGTGCACCACCAATCCAGCCTTTTCTTTCCTTTTTCCTTTTGGTTCTAAGTACTATCAAGTCAGACACAAACTGTGAAGTTCTGGAGACGATTTCCCCCATCAACAAGTTAAAATCAAAGTTGATTCTTTACATTCTACCCACAGTAAATATACGGAGGACACATGCACCACATCGTGCATGTGTATACACACCACACACACACACACACTCTGAATTAGAGTGTCATGCTTCAAACACAAATACTCTGTCATGCTTAAATACACCCACGTTTCCTAAGAACATACACAATTCCTTCATGTATTTCTACCTTTTCTCAATTCGGGTTCCCTAAGAGAGCTGTGTCCTATGGCCGGGGCATAGACTGTGCATAATGAAATAATACAGCAGAAAGGAAGGAAGAAAGATTTCATTTTCTATAAACTCTCTCTTTTATGGTGGTGGGAGCTGAGGGATTGGAAGCAGACAAGGTCATTTGTACCGTAATATTCTTAGGTACCACTTTAGTCACTAATTTTCAAATGGTGCATAAAGGATTTGGTTTCTTAATGTAATGAAAAAAATTTATATTGTGGAATAATCCTAAAAGCAAGATAAAACCTAAAATTTAGACGAAGTTTTCGTACATCTGATATATACATAAAAAGTAAACTCTACTTATTTAGAATATATGCATTATAAAAACTGAAATGACTTGTGAGATTAATAATGCAAATCATTAGGAAGTAATAATTGATCTCAACTTGCATTAAAAAAAATCAAAGAAAAATTAAAAGTTCTTTCATAATCGTACAGATTATTCCTTTCAACAAAAATGTATAAAATACTTCACAAATGTAAATGTTTCATGTTTGGTTGTAGGTACATCATGACATTGAGATTACCTAACTTTGAAAACAGGGAATACAGGGATGAAGGGATAGTTCAGGGTTAAAAGCATTCACTGATTGCTTTTCTAGAGGACGGGGTTCTATTCCCAGGACCTACACGGCAGCTCACAACTGTCTGTAACTCCAGTTTCAAGGGTCCTGACCCCCTTTTTTGGCCTCCAAAGGCATCAAGCACTCTTGTGATGCATAGACATACATGTAGGCAAAACACTCATACACATCAACAAATAAAATTTTAAAAAATAAAAGGGAAAACAAATGATGAAGGTATGGAGAAGCAGCAGCAGGACACTGTATTTTCTGCCTTTAGAAAGATTTTAAAAAGTCACTTGTCAAAGTTAAAGACCCTAAGGTTTGATTCATTACTTAATTTAAACATGCAAGGACCCAGGGTTCACTCTCTGCGGCAATATGCTCAAGTAGACGTCTGCTGTTCGGCTACAAAGGGAATCATTGCCTATTCCTGGGCCTTACATTTCCAGAATCCACTCAACTCTTATTCGCCACATTCTAGTTGGAAACATACCAACTATTCTTTAACCCTACTCCCTCCTTTCCCAGCCTTGATTCTATGATGAATCATCTACAAACATCTTTAATGTCAGAGTCCGGAAAAACATTCTTCTGTATGTCCAAGTGTTAGAACTTCTAATTTTACACATTTTATTTCTAAAGAATAAAACTAACCTTTAAGAAATACCTGAGAAACCAATAAATCTTAAATTAAATCTAGATTTATTGACACTTTTCAAAGGAAGTTATTAGTACAGATTTTCTTCTATAAACTTACATCTGGAAGAGATGGAAGGTTGTAAGACCCTCCCACTGGCGCGCTCAGATCAATCATGGGTGAATTATAAGCTTTTCCATCGTATCCTGCTGCACTTGTGATTGTGGGACTGGAAGGAGTGGAGGAAGAGCTGCTGGCAGTTGTGGGCGGAGCCTGTCCACTGCTGATCTGCCACTGGAGTACCAAGATGAGAAGAAAAACCATGAATGTAACCACTCACTCAGGTATGGAAGACAGAAGACAGGCTGCTATGTTAGCTCAAATGTTATTTGAATGGAAAGAACAAGGGAGAGAAGATGCATATTATGTGTGTACACACACATGTCAATCAGATAAAAAAATAAGCTTTTTTCCCCCCCTGGGAGAGAAGAGTCAGCATATACCAGAAAAACCACCCCCACAATCCTTTTAAAATATATATACAAAATGAACAAGGAATAAAAGCATACAAAAAGCAACTTCAAAATAAATCTGGAGAATTATAAACATATTTTCTTTTGTCCTTACATGAAATGCCTAAAAATAATTACCACAAATTAGGGCTTTCAGGGTTTTAGACTCCTCTTTCTTACATATGAACTCCTCTTTTTCACATATGAACGGGTAGTTAAGCCTTACTGAGGAAAGCCTTCACACATTAGAAGCTAAGATAAACACAAACAAAGATAATGCTAGGCATGCTGAATGACACAAAATTGAGTCATGCTGTTTGGTTACTTGAAAACCTACACAAAATAAGGTATAGATGATGGTTAGACAAAAAGGCACACTGTTAATATGTACTACGGCAAAGGGAACAAAATGTTCCCTGTATTGAATAAAATACTGAATTTGGCATATTTGAAAAACAATATGAAAAAAAAAAATCCCAGAATAAAATACTGGGGGAGGGGCAGACTGAATGGTATCCCAAGATTATTCAGCAGAAAAAGTGCCCAAACACATTATCATTTATACATGGATGACACTGTAGAGTGATGTGCTGAAACATCATGTTTTGGAAAAATCTTACTTATACACATAACTGTTAAAACTAGTATAGAGCTGGGCGGTGGTGGCACACGCCTTTAATCCTAGCATTGGAGGCAGAGTTAGATGGATCTCCATGAGTTCGAGATATATGAAGTTGAGTGTGAATGTCATCTGCAGCTCTATACACGCAACAATTTTATCTCACCCTATATACCTTTTCCTCCTCCCCTTCAAATAATGATGAATCACAGTTGATGGGTACCTTTCTACATTTTTCCCTTATCTATAAGATAAAATACACACAGAAATGAGACAGAATCCCACAAAAATTCTGTAACATGATAGCTTCTTACTAGCCAAAAAATGTACCTATTCTATGAGCATGTTATAATTTGGTGAATTTATGCATTAAAACTAATTTCTGGGGCCAGTGGTTCAGTACACAAAAGTACTTGTTGCCAAGCCTGCCGACCTGATCCCTGGAATCCACAAGGCAGAAGGACAGAATAGACTCCTACAGTCTGTTTCCTGACCTCAGGCAGTAATTATGTTAAGAGCATTGCCCTACCCCACATCTTTGACAGTCACACAAAAAGTACATAACATTTGTAAATCTGATTTTACAAAGCTTAAAAAAATAGCCATATTTCTCACAATATTTCTCCTGGTTTATTTGCCCTTTTATTCATTTATGTTTAGATTTTTGTTCAGAAAATAGTCAAGAAAAAAATTAAAAGTATCTGCTGAAGCATTAAGACAATAACTAGCCTTTTCAACACTAGCCTGTTTCCACAGAACTTCGTTTATCCCCCTGGCAGGAGTGCTTCTACCTGCCCCAGAAATGCCAAGGGCAACATGTTTCCTATCCCTTAGAGAGGCAGCTTAGCAACAGCCCCGATTTGGCCTTGAGACCTTCTGTCTCATGAGCACAGCTGGTGATAGTGATGAGAAATACCCTGTATGCTTCTCTGTCCCTGCTTTGAAGTCTGTATGCTGGGCCATTCCAATAGTGGAGAATAGCATTAAGCCCCTGGCTCTGTCACTCTTGAATTCAGCATCGGTTCCTTGGTACATCACTGACAGAATGCAATAATCTATCCATTAAAATCTAATAAATGGAGAAGAAGAGAAGTTGAATGCTTGAAAGGTGCCAGGTATTTTTACATACTTTAGAATAACTCTCAGCATAACTCTGCAAGGTAATCATTTTTACAGTTGGAGTGAGATCTAAAAATAATGTACTTGGCAAGGTCATAAACTAGGAAAATAAATAGAATTTGATGCCAAGAAACAATTTAAACCTTTACTTATAATGATGAAATAGAACAGGTATGAATTTTTAAATATTATTAAATAAAACCTGGGGATGTTAAATCAGACCCTGATTATATAAACAAACAGAATGCAAGGACTCCTTGATTATAAAGCACTGAGATGTGTTTCGGAACTCTGTCCCCACACATCTGTTTCTAAGTACACTCGGTAATTTCTAGTTATTTAAAAAGGCCAGCAAGCACCCTTCACCACTTACTGTTCATCCTAAGTTCCTATGCTCTAAAGCACAGAGAAACAGCAGAAACACAGAAGCAACTGCACAGAAAGGTAATACACACCTGTTTTATGGCCTGTTGGGCCAAAAAAGCCATCTGCAGGGGGTTGGGTTTTATTATCTGTCGTGGAACATTCTGGTTTGGTGGATATCTCAGCTGTTGAGGATAAGGAGGGAGAACTGGTCCATTGGGTTTAGGACTGTGGTTCTGGAAGTTTATTAAACGCGGTGGCGGATGCTAGAAAACAGAAATGAAAGTGCTGCAGTAACAACGGCCTCCTAAAGAGGCCCAGATCTTCCCTGTCTAAAATTCCCAAGGCTAGTAGCTCTGCCACAGAAGACTCACTAAGACCCCAGAAGCAAGGGAGAGGATGGCAGTGATCTAGTCTTAAAGGGGAAGGGGAGTACCTGGGAAGGGAAGGAAGGAGGGTTGGGGTGAGCAGAAGGACGAGGACACGGGAGGGAGGGAAGGAAGGAAGGAGCTCTCCTGGTGGAGGAGGCGGGGAGGAAGCACATCTGCTTGTCTCCTCCACTGACTGCTCCAAGTAAGCAGTCTTAGCACCCCCCACCCCACCCTGCCCCAAGCTCTCATGCCAATCCCTTTTGATCGCTCAATTGTCTTTACAGTTGGGAATTTATTGCTTCTTCTTTGAGATATCATAAATCTGTATGATCAGAACTTCTTAGAGTAGGGACTACTTCTTCCCACATTCACAGAGAAGCAAGTAAGTCCTTACCACCTACAAGGCTCATGGAGCAACACCTCAACTGCGACACTGTGAAGGCAGACAGCTTCAAGTGTAGCTCTGCCCTCCCCGGCAGTTTCTCCTTCTTTTGCATGTCTTCTCCTACTCTAAATCACTTGCTTCCTTCCCCCGTTTCCTCTTCAGTTAAGAATATATTACGGAATGAGTGAAAAACAGACTCATATACTGTTTCTGGGCCAACTGAAATTCCACAGGTGAAGAGCAGAAATAGTATTAGTGGAAAACTGCATAGAGAATAAGTCAAAAACCCTAACAACTCTTTTTGATTTCCCTATAAAACTTATGACATGAGGGTTTTATACTATGAGAAAACAAGCAGAAAATAGTGAGGAATTACATTAGCGCTTTTCCAAGGTTTTTCATGGAGAAGAGTCATTTTTCAGTTACCTTACTCTCATCCTCTCAGTAACTGCTCAACACAAGAAGTCAACCAAAACCATGGCCCTTGATGCCAGAGCACTGGGACTAAAGGCTAACTAACACTGCCACCATTAAGAAGTTTGCATGTGAGCAAGGTGGAGGGGCAGTACTCTACCCATTTCCTGAGCTGCTACAGTTGGGTTAATTGATGAGAATATTTTGACAAACCCAAAAGACTATTTTAAAAAAGCAGATACCATTTTTTGGGGGGAGGAGGGTTGTTTCAGAGACAAGGCCTCTCTGCAAAACCTTGGTTGTTCTGGAACTTGCTCTGTAGACCAGGCTGGCTTCAAACTCAACAGAAATCTGCCTGCTTCTGCCTTCCGAGTGCTGGGATTAAAGGTGTGCGTTACCACCCAGCTCAGATATGATCTTTTTTTTTGTTTTGTTTTTTTTTTGTGTGTGTGTTTTGTTTTTTTCTTCTCCGAGACAGGGTTTCTCTGTGTAGCTTTGGGCCTTTTCCTGGAACTCACTTGGTAGCCCAGGCTGGCCTCGAACTCACAGAGATCCGCCTGCCTCTGCCTCCCAAGTGCTGGGATTAAAGGCGTGCGCCACCACCGCCTGGCGCAGATATGATCTTAAAATCAATAGCAAAAGTAGTGATATTTTGCTCAAATAATTCATTCACGAATTACAAGATGAAAAGAAAACTGAGCATGGTGAAATTGCAGGCATGGGCACAGTGAGAACAATAGCTATCTATCCATTATGTATAGTGATGATGTCAGTGTTCTCCAATGAGCAGATGGAGTCATAGGGTGTAATAGCATAGACTATGTATAGCACTAAATCAACAGTCTATCAAGTCTGCGCTGCTCATTCTGCCACATAATGAACTATTCTACATTTGCTGTCACCAACGCTTTAAGAATGCAAGTGACACGGTTAATCTTCAGGGGAAGAATTATGGAACTATCATGTAACTGACTTTTTACAAGCATAATGCTTTCAATCTACCTGTCCACATGGGCAAATGTAGACTATGATTTGCATGCTCCACATAACCAGAAGCATAAAGAGCTACAACCTGTTTTAGACAGGCAGTACAAAAATTACATGTTCATGTACAAAGTTACATGTACAAAAGCTGGTAGAAAATGAAGAAACTAAAAATATAGGAAGACAGTAAACTAATAGCCAGGGGGGAAAAAGTGGAAACGGTATTTGACAGAACAGATTTAAATAGATGTTAAGAAAAAGGATAGAAGATTAAAAATAATACATAAGGAAAGATGTAAGAAGTACTTCTAGGTTAGAAAATTAAGTTTTATAGTAAAGACTTTATATAAATTATACCACTAAATGCTATGGACTGAAAATCAAAAGCCAACTTCTGAGCAAAGTAGGCTGAAGGCTTGGATGCTATTTCTGCTTGTCATTGCATACACACACACACACACACACACACACACACACACACACACACACACACAGGCAACTTCCTTCACATGGTTACTAACTGCTTTGGTTACTTCTTAATAAAAAGGCAATTAATTAAGAGGATGGATTCACCCCTTACCTGGTTAGAAACTAGAGACAGAACATGAGCTTCAGTGTGTACAGGGGCCTGGGGTGTGTCCCAGCACCACAAAATGAGCAAATAACAACAGCAAAAGCATGTATGTCTATACCTCTCAATCAGGGTTGAAGAATACTTTGAAAGGTATTTCAATGTTGTATTAAACTGCTATTCAAAAGGCTATGCCATTTAGATACTTTTTCCATTAAAAACCACATTATATATGCGCTAGTGTTAGTAAACTACTAGTCAAATAAAGTTTCTCCCCTAATTAACTAATGTTTTCTTTGATCAGTTATTCATATCTGTATTTTCCTCATTTCCTTTTTGCTTTTGTTGCCAAGACATTTTGAACTAAGCTTTGTTCTTAAATGTAATGAGAATTCTTGGTGTAATTCTGTCCAATGAGATTGACTTTTATAAAACTCCAGTTCATTTGGGTCATTTACCAAAATCATTACAAACCCCTTGTCCAAACAGGGAGAATACAAAATTAACTTAAAAATTGTAAATCCTAAGAAAGAGATGGATGAACTCTTTACCAGGCCTTTATTCATCTAGGTATGCCCAGAGCTAACCTGAACAGGACTGGTTAAACTATTTAATAAAAGCACATAGAACTAAACTGGATTGGAGGGCTTGGAGAGATGGCTCAGTCAATTAGGCACTTGCAGAGCAAATGTGTGGGCTGTAGTTCAGATCACCAGAACCCCCACAAAAAAGTGGGGTGGGCATGCAGGCCAGCATGTAATCTCAGCACCCAGAAGGCAGAGACAGATGATCTCTCGGCAAGCTGGCTAACTAGACTAGCTAAATCAGAGAGTTCCCTGGGCTAAGCAAGAGACCATGCCTCAGTAAGTGAAGTGGATAGCAATAAAGGAAGATGATGTCAACCTGTCCTCCACATATGACATGTGCATGGTTACCTGGACATATCTCACTTGTTCATCATATAATGCATACACATGTCAAAGAAGAGGATTGAAAAATGACAGAATATTACACATTTAGTAAGAATAGGAATAGTATATGGATTTCAAGAAAAATTTAAAAGGCTGAAATGACAGGATTCTAATGAACTGCCTGATTTGTATATTGCCTATTGTACATTGTCCTAGTTTCTAGAATGCAGTATGGGTTTCTTTTTCTTTCTTTCTTCCTTTCTTTTTTTTTTTTTTTTTGGGGGGGGGGCGGGGTTTCTCTGTGTAGCTTTGCGCCTTTCCTGGAACTCGCTTTGGAGACCAGGCTGGCCTCTAACTCAGAGATCCACCTGCCTCTGCCTCCTGAGTGCTGGGATTAAAGGCGTGCGCCACCACCGCCAGGCTGCAGTATGGGTTTCTAAATACTATCTCCAAAGAGATTCATTCCAAAGAGATTCATGCATCCATATAAAACTTAGAGGTACACAATTGCTTTTCATCCATCATAGGTGTAAGTTACTTGTGAACATAAACATTTATCCCTTGTCATAACTGGATGACAATGCATGGAGATTGAACATAGATATAGCAAGGAAATAAATCATTAAATAGGTTTGGAGTTATCTAAAAACTAGGTGTTAGATCAAGGATCCTTTAACGCAGTCAATTTTTAACATCTAAATGAAGGGCAGTGTGTGTGGGGGGGGTGTTGGAGACTGTAAGCTGCTGAACACAATCACACTATGGTTATCTACGTTAGGACAGGCCTGCTTCCAAATTTACCTGATGAGAGATGGAAGGCTGCTGGATGGGCCCTTGCATCCTAGGGTTTGGTAAACCCACAGGTGCTGGCCTCCGTTGCACCTGTTGCCTCTGAGCCATTACCTGTTGCTGCATATGCTGGAGTCGTAACTGAGCTAGGCTGATCTGTGTTGGAAACTTGGATAACTGGTTGGAAGGTAAACCACCTGGTGGCTGGGAACTCTGTTCCATGACAGGATTCTGCTTAGGAATTTGTGGCTGGCTCTCTTTATCTTCGATTACTAAAGAACCTAATCAAAGAGAAAGAAAACAAGATAATGATTTTTGTTAATTGGTGAAATACCACATTTTATATCGCTACTGAGTTGGACTTCAATTGACAAAGAATTTTGGACACAGGACCCCTCTAAACTGTTAAAAGTAGAGGATTCCAATGAGCTTTATATGTATATTCTATAAGAACTTACCATATAAAATTTTTTCATGAAAAAAATACTCATTCATTAAAAAATAGTAAAACTTTAAAGAACAGCCATCTTCCCAGCCCACATTTTGTGTTTCTACAGGCATTTCAAAGGGTTTGAGTCACGGTACTGGCTCTCTTAATGAGCAAATGGCTGTGTTTATGTCTCAAATGGCCTGCAGGGGTCGCTATCGGCTAGCCTCACGAGTCTCTTGCTCTCCCTTTTCCCTTTGTTGGATGTCTTTTGTCTACTTATCCTTTCCCGCTGTGCAATGTGTTGAGAGCACCGACTCCTTCTCCAGCTGCTGTTCCCTTTCTCACACTGAATCTAGTCTTGGGGGAGAGAACCACCATGTCTGAAGAGTCTATACAAATCCAGGAACTCAAGATGCCATCAAAGGAAATACTGCTTGTTGAGAAACGATGTCTAAGGAACTTTGGAGCTTTTGTTGTATCATTTCCCTGAGGTGAAACTCAAGAGCAAAAGGACTATCTTCAATCGTTTCAAAGACCAACAAGAGAGCCTAGCGGTAACTTCTGACTGCACTGCTTGCACAGATCATCTGCTTCCTAATGTTACCAAGTGCTGATTGTTCTGACTAATGAGCTCTAATATTTAAGAGTGAGTATTTCTCTGTATGTTATCTGTCAACTACTTACACACTCCCTCTCCCTCAGCCCCCTTCTGTGCAGCCGCACAATTTATAACCTGACTAGGTAAACAAAAGATCTAAAAGCCAAAACAAATGAGAGGGTAAGGGAGGAAAGGGAGAAAAAGAACAATCAGTAAATAAAATGAAGCAACTGAGCCACTAGAGGCTTGAATAATGCTTTTAAACTTCTACGGCTGTCCAACCTTGACACAGTGCTGCCATCTATAAAGCTTGTGCTTGCAAAGTCAGAAATTAGTTATTAAAAAACAACTTTTGGGAGAAAAATCTCATAATAAGTTTATGATTTTGTGCTGGGTAGGCTGTGGGCTGTGCATTGGAATTCTACAGTCTACCTTGACCTCACAACCAGCTAG